TGTGTGTGTGTGTGTGTGTGTGTGTGTGTGTGTGTGTGTGAGTGAGTGAGTGTGTGTGAGTGTGTGTTTCTGTGTGTGTGTGTGTGTGTGTGTGTGTGTGTGTGTTACGCAGTTGGTTGTACCAGCACGTGAGACATGTATTTACTAATTAAATGCCCTGTCTTGTTGTGCGTATGCACATTTCACTGCCATTGTAAACGATCAGGACAAATTTTTAACTGCGAGATGAATAAAAATTGTCATTGTTATTGTACTGACGACCACTTCTCACTTCATAACTTGCGTTTTTTAAGATATTTTTATTATTTTATTTTTTATATATTGTAATTACACTGTAAAGGACGATAACCTATCTTGGACAACCGCTTTTCTCCTCGACAACATGTGGCAATGTTGGATAATTATTACTGTACTTCTGACTCGTGTCTCCGATTTACTGTTGGAATACTGGATCCAGCATCGACTGGGCTGGCCCAAAAAGGCTAGCTGGAAGCAGCCTTCCTCATTCTTGATCACAGTTGTTTTCCCAGTGGGGATTGTTTTTCATTTGTTTGTTTTTTTGTTGTTGTTTGTTTTGTTTGTTTGTTTGTTTGTTGTTGTTTGTTTTTTTTATTGTTGTTGTTTTGTTGTTGTTGTTTTTTTTTGGGGGGGGTTGGTTTTGCAGGAATTCTTAAAACATACGTAGATATTAATAAGATTTAAATCGTTTAGAACTTTCATAACAGAATTTCAATAGGAAAAACACTGTCAATAACAGAACGTGACATACCGAGTAAATGCATCTCTCAAACCACATGCAGGAATGTGGTGTGGGTTTTAACATCCTGTGTTATTCGCCATTATCGTTGAACAGAAAGTGAATGCTTCTTCTTGCACATTAATTGCTATTATCTTGCATTATTATGTGACCAGGACGCACTGCGGAAAGTTACGTTAAAATCTAATTTGTAACGTCATGTTTTGAAATAGTTCTCGGTCTGTCTCTTACCCTGTGCATCTGCGTGTTTCTCTGTGTGTGTATGAGTTTGTGTGTGTGTGTGTGTGTGTCTCTCTCTCTCTCTCTCTCTCTCTCTCTCTCTCTCTCTCTCTCTCTCTCTCTGTATGATGTATGTATGTATGTGTTCCATGCAATTTTCCAATCTATGCATAGATTGGGCTGCGCGTTTTCAGATCGTATAATTGCGCGGCAATCGATTGCGCTGCACGTTTTAACGATCGTATTGCATCATTCTTAGGAACTCTTCAGTATCATATCTTAATTTTGATTTTCATATTTTTACACTATTGAAACTATATGTGAAGGTTCCTTGATGTGAGTAAAAGGATAAAGATTGAAGTGAATTTTTAAAAAACATTATTTCAAAAATATGAAATATTAAGGCAATTTTCAGATTGCCCCGCAATTATACGATCTTTGAAACGCACAGCGCATGATTTCGACGATCGGTAAATTGGGCAGAAAATATGCGTGTGTGTGTGGGTGTGTTTGTGTGTGTTTGTGTGTGTGTGTGTGTGTGTGTGTGTGT